AAGAAGGTACAGCAGCAAGGGGAACAGCGTGAGAGGTAGAGAGCCACCATCTCTGATGTGGTCGGGACGACCTCCTGGGACTCGCACGTCTGGAGGTGCTGGCTCATGGAGCCTATGGCTCCTGAGACAGCAAAGGCAGGGAGAAGATGGAGCCTGAAGGGCCAGATGGGACAGGCAAAGACCCACGTGTGTGACCAGGAGGAGGCAGACTACAGGGCCTGGCAGTCCAGTGGGGACCAAGGACTGCTAGGAGGGCACAGTGCCCCTTTGCCAAACTCCGTTTGCCAAACTCCGGAGTCCTCAGTGAGAGGGGCCTGAGGAGCAGCCCTGGCTCTGGGGGTAAAATGCACCATCTCTGTGCAGGGGCCCTCAGAGCCCCATCGTCCTGGGCACCTGCCAGGCTCTTGTCCACCACACTCTGGGGCATGGCCAACACCACACGCACCACAGTGACCCTGGCTCCACCCTAAAGAGTGAGCCCCCCAAGACAGCCAGGGACAGAACCACGTGACCCGCTGGGCAACACCCACAGGCGTGGAGGCCAGGGCCTGCCAGTGCTCACCTGATGATCACGCAGTCCAGGAAGTCGGTCAGCCGGCCACTCTGGGTGATGTAGGAAAAGTCGGGGAAACGCCTCTGCGGGGGAGCCGGGGCAGGGTCAGAATGCAGCCGCTGCCCCATCTCCAGGCAGCTGTGGAGGGTGCCCAGGGAGCTGCCCCATAGAGAGGGTCAGGGCACAGACTCGAGGCCAGGCTGGGCACTCCGACCCTGGCAGGCAGCACCAGGACCCCTGGCTGCTCACAGCCTCCATTACCCCCGACCTCACTAGCAGACCTGAGCTGGAAGCTGAGCCCCAGGTCTTGCTGAGCTGGCCTGCAGGATCGTGTAGGTACCAGGGCCCAACTCCGGTACAAACAGACCCCTTGCCAGGGCTCACCTCACCCTGCCACCACCTGTCAAGTCATGGTCAGGAGGCCACCCAGGAGCGGGATACCCCCCCAACATGGGCTGCGGATGTCCAAGCAGACCACCACTGCCCACTTGGCCCGTCTGTCCAGCTCCAAGAACTAGAGTCCAACTGCAGATGGCTACAAGGAGTAGGTGGGGTGGCTGCTCCCCCCCACCCACCCTCTGGGCCGCCCATCCGGAGGACTCACGTCATCACTGAAGCCCATGTGCATGCCACAGTCCAGCATGACGTTCTTGCCCGCGATAGAGACCAGGATGCAACTTCGGCCCACATCCTGGCCAGCCCCTGCTCAAGGGGGAGGGCAGGTAAGAGGCAGTGCCAGGTCCCCTTCTCCTTCCCCACTGCTACAAATGATCCTCGGCCCCACCCTGCTGCCTTCTGGGCTCTCACAGGGCCCTCGGTGTGTTGAAGAACTTGGACCCAGGCTGCTGTGTGGCAGCTGTATAGGCTGAGAAGCGTGACATCCCACCCTGGACAGGTGGGCAACACAGGCCCTGCACCACTGTGAATACTGCCACGTCCCCCAACTCAGACTCTAATCTAGTCCCTTCCACATTCCTGAAAACCAGCCAGCCCTACCCAGCTACTCCAGTGGAGATCTTGGCCACATGGGACACACCTAGCTCCCCCCGCCCCCCCCCCCGTAGCCATCTGTTACCTCCTCTGGGGCCTGGGAGCCCACAAGGAAAGGGACACAGCCTCTGTATGGCCTAAGCTTGAACAGGTGTCTGATGACAGCAAATGATCTGGTTTCTATCTTGAATCCTCTGGTGGCTGCATGAAGCATCCAACACTAGCACCACACACATCACAGTGACCAGGCCGCAGCCCAGAGCCTGCCCGCCTCAAGCAGCCTGGCTGGCTGGGGTCTTAGGTTCTCCAATGGGCCTGTTCCTATCTCCACTATCATGTGAGCTCCCTGCAGGCAGGGGTCTCACTACCTCTGTACCCCTAGCCCCAAAGCCACGCCAGGCTCAGAAGCCCTCCAAACATCTGTAGGGAACAAGGGCCACCACTCTTTCTAGGGGAGGACCTGAGGTCACAGAGACTCCTGGAGACACACACTACTAAGGGTGGATTCCAAAGCCCCATTCCTGAGCACTGGCAGTCCTGCCTCCCACATGACCCACAACAATCCCACGGTGCAAAGACGGTGGGGACAAAGCCCAGCACTGGGGGAGGGGACAAAACTCAAGAGAAAACAAAGCAGGAGACGTCGCTGTCCCACGGAACTCATGAAGTCATAAGGCAGGGAGACAACAAGTAAAAAGACACACACCAAGTGCATCCAACAGAGATGACTGTGACAGATAAAAGTAAGAAAGGGAAGAGGACAAGGAGTCCTGTAAACCTCTGGAACCACAACGGGAAAGGCCTCCCTGAGAAGACAACTGTCGAGCAGGGGAGTGAGGGGCAGCCAGGTGGGAGGACAGACGTGTGAGGGCCCTGTAGTGGGAATGACCCCAAGGACCTCAGTACCTGACCCAAGGCTATAAAGGGAAATAGTGAAGCAGAGCTCTGCTTAGATGATGCTGTTGCTGAGGTGACCTTGAGGGTACACCCAGGTGCAGATCTGGGGTAACTAAAACCATAAGAAAGACAGGAATGTTGAGGGAGAGCGTACAAGACAGACAGAAAAGGGGCCGGACAGGAAAGGAGCAGACCGGGAGGAAGAGCCCGCAGAGGCCCCTGGAGAGCAGCCAGGGACAGAGGACAGTAGAGTGCCACCGTGACTAGGGCAGGGGGTGAGGAGGCGGGGCTGTGGCAACAGCTGCAAAAGGCCATGGGGACCACAGTGCCTAAGACAGCATGGGATGAACAGCTCCATGTCCATGCCAGGGGCTGGGTGGGCTTATGGGGACAGACATGTCTCCACAGGATGATGCTCCTGACACCCCACCCAGTGGAGGAAGTGGGCTCCGGGACAGCAGGGACAGCACACAGAGCACAGGCACAAAGAAAGCCCAGAGACATCTAGAGGGTTGGCCACCAAAATGATATGCCCAGTTGTTCCTGGACCCTGGATTTTGAGTCACTCTTTCCTCCTCCACACTGTTCTATGCTGTCAGAATGTTTAGAAATGTGCATTTAAACTTTTTGCAAAAAGTAAAGCTACTTTTTTAACATCACAGGGATCAGGCAAAACAAGAGCAATTGAGAGTTGATCGCAGGTAACCCAGGCGCAAGCACCAGATGGCGGTGGTGGATGGACAGGGAGAGGCAAGGCAGCAGTCCACGTGCAGAAGGAGGTAAACACTCTGACGAAAGCACCCAGTGGGGACCGAGGCCTTGTTGCTGGACTCCCACGCCACTGCCAGGAAACCTGCAGAGGCAGCATCTGTGCAGCACCCACGTGATACCAAATGTCCCGCAAGCACTCCACCTTACCATCACCTGAACCTCGGGGATCTCGCTCTTATTTCACGGCTAGTAAACCTGGGGTGCAGAGACTGAGCCTCCTCCTTGACATCACACAGCATGCAACCCCTAAGCCCTTCGTCCCCTGACCACTCTGCAGTGGTTCTCTGCACAAAGGCCTGACAGGGAAGAGGAGAGGCGAGAAGGCGCACGGTTCGCGGCCCTCGCCGCAGACCGAAGCTAGGACGGCCTGCTCGTCCCGGCCTCAGAGCCTCCCCAAGCACAAAGGAGCCGAAGCTCTCCACGCCAATGAGGCCGCGGCGGAACCGCTCCGTGGGGGCCAGAGCGCGCCTGGGGGCGCCCAGCCTGGCGGAGAGCTCGCTGCCCGCTCGGGGCCTCCGACCACAGCTGGGGGCCTGAGAAGCCTCCCCAGCCCCGAGCAAGGCCCAGCCCTGGGCCTCAAGAGGGGAAGGGCGCGCTGGGACCCCAGCCCCGCAGCCCTCTCAGTGAGCCGCGCCCACTCACCCAGCGGAGTGACTCTGATCTCCGGCATTGTCGCGGCGCGGGTGCCCTCAGCGCGTCTCCTCCGCGCTCCGGTGCTCACGCGGGCTCCGCAGGGAAAGCCGGAGGACCGCCCGCCCGCGCACTGGGGCTCTGGGGCTCCGAGACCCCGCGATCCTGAGATCCCCCGCCGCGCGCGAGCCTTACAAGCGGCAACGCACCGCGCAGGCGTGTACGCGCCGGCTTCCGGTCAGCTCCCAGGAAACGCGCGCGTCGGGCCTCCTGATTGGGCGGCCGTCCACCAATCGGTGTGCGGGGCGGGGCGCCGGGCGAGGCGGGGCGAGGCCGGGTCGCGGGCGGGGCGAGGGCCTGGGAGGGACCAGGTCGTGGGCGGGGCGAGGGGCTGGGCGGGGCCGGACCGTGGGCGGGGCGAGGGGCTGGGCGGGGCCGGGCGGCGGCGGCGGCGCAAAGGAGCATCTTACACCCCGAGATGGCGCCGGCCCAACCGAACCCGCGGGGTCTGGAGGTCGCCGAGGCGCCGGGCGCGGGTCCCGGGACGCAGCTGATGGGCCCCTGGGTACGGGAAGGGGCGTCCTCGTAGAGGGCCGGAGCGGGCGAGCGGCCGAGGACGGGCTTCACGCCGGCCGGCGGCGGCTCAGGGCGCTCCCACACAGGCCCCTCGGCCGGGGCAAGGACCCGCCTGGCGGTGCCGTCGGAGCCCCTCCCAGGTGAGACTGGCAGAGCGCCCCTGCAGGCCCCTGCTTCCACCCCCTGGGCCCTGGGTGCCAGGTGCGACCCTGCCCTGCCGACCTCCAGCCGGCCGCCCCGCCCGCCCTGATCTGCTCCTGGGGCTGCGGGCCCCTGCGTCACCGTCCTGCAGTTGGCGGCTTGCCCGCCCGCCTGGGCTCTGCAGCCACTGCCCTTCCTGTGGTCCCCAGCAGGCAGCTCCGAGAGGCTCCAGGCAGCTCCCTGTTGGCTGCTAGTTCGGGTTCTCAGCAGGAAGGCCTGCAGGATATCTGGTGATCAAGAAGGAAGCCGGGGAGCCTCAAAGGTCATCTGCTCAGTGAACAGAGGACAACCCTGAGAGAGGGCAGGGGCGTGCCAGAAGTCTTCTGGCGCCATCTTCCTGAGGCCCAGGCACTGTCGTCCCCACACCTGAAGACAGGTGAGCTCATCCCTGGGGCCTCAGCCCAGTGCCAAGCATGCAGCCCAACCTGTGGGACCTGCATGACCACAGCACCCACTGGGCCCCACCAGGGTGTCAACCTGGGCCATGGGCCAGACAGGGCAGGGCGTGCAGCCCATTTTCCCCAGAGATGAAGGACTAGGCTTAGGACAGTGAGCAACCTGTCCACTGGGCGGGAGACAGAACCCACACAGGGACCCAGGTGTCCTGCTCCTGGCTGGGGTTCTCATCACAGGTGGGGTGCCCCCTGCCCCAGGCCAGGGCAGAGCTCCCAGCACCAAGGGCACGGCACCCCCAGGCCCAACGGGGTGAGAGCTCCTAGGCTAGGTGAGATGCAGCTGAGTGCCTGAGACCCAGCAGAGTTGCCACAGGGCCGGCCAAAGACGTCAGGCAGGGGTGCTTGGATGTCTGTGGAGTGACTGTATGAACGAAAGCAGAGTCCAGAACAGGGCCCGGGCCGCTTCCAGAAGGTTCCTTAGGGTTGCAAGGAGGGCCTGTGGCCATCTTCTGCATGTGGTAAGACCTTGGCCCAGCTGCTCTTCTGTGTGGGACACGTATAGTTTCAGCATCAGGAGTGAAAAGATTGGTGTTCTTCCGTCTGTCTGTCCATCCACCCAGTGAACCCCACAGCCTCTGCCCTGGGTTGGGGTGTAGCAGTGGGCGGGGGAGGGGCAGTATTTATCTCCTCCTTACCTGCTAGCCCAGGACTTTGTGTCTTTGTTATTGTCCAACACGCTGTCCCCACTAGAATGTCACCCTGACGAGACGGGGCTGTGCGGAGGTCTGGGTGTGTGACCCTGACGAGGGGCAGAGCAGGTGGCGTGTCTCCGGTTGGGGGGGTTTCAGTGTTCTTTGGCAGGATCCTGGATACTTCTTTCCAACTGTTCCCCCCACACTGAAAAAATGAGCTGTGGAGTGAGCCAACCCACCAGCCCTGCTCTGTGTGTCACAGTTTGTATCAAAAAATGGATGATCCAGAGACAGGTTTCAACCTGAAGGTCGTCCTGGTCAGTTTCCAGCAGTGTCTCAACGAGAAGGAAGAGATCCTGTTGGACCACTACATCACCGGCTGGAAGGGGCTGGTCAGGTGTGTGTCTGGATCGCTTCTCCGCGGAGGGATGGGCATGAACCGGGGCTGTCCCGGCCTGAGTCCCATCCCACCCAGCACCATGAGCACGAGGTGCCCACCCACCCCAGGTGTTCCCACCTGGCCTTCCTAGCCCTGCTGCTCAGGGCCTGGGTGGGGACTCGAGCTCCTGCTTCCCTTGGGCAGGTTCCTGAGCAGCCTGGGCACCATCTTCTCCTTCATCACCAAGGACGTGGCCTCAAAGCTGCAGATCATGGAGCATCTGAGGACCGGCCCCCAGGGCGAGCACTATAGCAGCCTGCAGTCCATGGTGGCCTACGAGGTGGGCCACCAGTTGGTGGACCTGGAGCGCCGCTCACGCCACCCCGACTCAGGCTGCCGGACTGTGCTGCGCCTGCACCGAGCCCTGCACTGGCTGCAGCTGTTCCTCGAAGGCCTGCGCACCAGCCCCGAGGACGCGCGCACCTCCACGCTCTGCTCCGACTCCTACAACACCTCGTTGGCTGCCTACCACCCCTGGATCGTGCGCCGGGCTGTCACTGTGGCCTTCTGCACTCTGCCCACACGCAAGGTCTTCCTGGAGGCCATGAACGTGGGGACCCCTGAGCAGGCTGTGGAGATGCTGGGGGAGGCCCTGCCCTTCATCGAGCACGTCTACGATATCTCCCAGAAACTCTACTCCGAGCACTCCCTGCTGGACCTGCCCTAGCGGATGGGGGCCCCAGCCGGGCGGGCGTCCCCTGCTGCAGAGGTGGGCTGGAGCAGCCAGGGCCCATTAATCCCAGGACAGCGCTTTCTGGGTTCCCTGAAAACAGGAGACCCACTGTTGCAAGCTGAGCACGTGGGGAGTCACAGGCTGTGGCCAGGCCAGGAAGAGGCCCCTCCGCCACAGCCTCACCTCCGGCCTCGTGTGCTCAGTCAGGCCTCACCGAGGCACAGACAGCAGAGAAGGGGCAAGACCGGTGCACGCAGAGCAGGACGGGTGGCCCCAGCCGCCTAGAGCAGACTCCAGGAAGTGGGGTGAAGTCGCAGGTCCCTGGGGTGTGGTGGCTTGGTCCTCCCCACCAGCCAGCATGTGTCCTTCTCGTGCCAAGCTCAGGTCCAGGACGCAGCGTCTGTGCCCCGGTGGGTGGCTGACCCCAGGCATGGGGAGAATCCTCAGACAGGGTCTGGGCACTTGGGCTCTCCCTGCCCCTCGCTGCCTGGTTGGCCTCACACCGTGCTGAGTAGGCCAGGGGCAGTGACGGTGGGAGGTGAAGCCCAAAGCTGAGCTTCCCCCAAAAGTGCCCACCCCGCCCTCAGGATGCAGCCCTCAGGGTGGCGGCTCCCGATGGACACAGGAGCTGGGACTCTGCCCCCAGCGCCAGGGAGATGCTCTGTTCCTTCACCCCCACCCCTTGCTGTCTTGTCCCCACAGTGCTCCAGAGACCCAGGGGGTTACAGAACAGGAGGGGCTGGACCCCGTTGCCTAGGTGACAGCTACCAGACCACCACAGTGCAGCAGGCACACAGGCTTGTTGGGGGTACTTGGGTGTGTTTTCCAACATGAATAAATTACACTTACGGCATTCCAGGATGGGGATATCGGGGTACACAAGGCGCCTGACTACCCAGGGAAAGGGACATGGGGGGGTACCCTGTTAGGGCAGGGAGGGGCCTGACCCCCAGGACACAGCTGAGGTGGGTATGCTCCAACTCACTGGAGGGGCCAATCCTTTTTGTTCAGGCTACTGTGGGGCTCAGAGCAGTGCCCACCCCCCACCCTGCCAGCAGGCCTGAGACCCTGCCTCCAAACCAGCCCCCTGGGGTTTGGTGAGTCTCCCTGTCTGTTTTTTCACTTGTGAGATGGGCATGATGACATGTGGGGGACAGGCCAAAGCCCCCCTCAGGGACAGCCCTCCATGCAGCACCTCCCCCAGCATAGGCTGAACAGAAAGGATGCAAGTGGGGAGGGTCCTCCCGGACACCCCACCCCAGCCTCAGTCCACCAGGTCCACACACACGGCAGGGCCCCAGGCCCCGCATGGTGCCAGCAAAGGCCAATGACTGAGGAACGGGCCAGGGAGGACAGCTGGCGTTCCCTCGGGCCAGAGAGCAAGGGGGTGTGCCGTGTGTATGTGCACATGCATGTCTCACGGGCCCACCCTTGCAGGGCAGTAGGGAAGAGGCAAAGGCCAGGTTCAGCTTCCTGGTGGACACCTGCCAGGCCCTGGCAGGGCTGGACTGCCAGAGGCCCCACCCAACCCCAGCAAAAGTCGGCAGCCTCCCCCACTCCTGTCAGCATGGGCCCCTAGTTGCCATTGAGGGCTCCCCAAAACCCAGGTGAAGGGGAGACAGGCCCCACCCTGGGGCCACCCTCCACCAGGGGCACACACCTGGTGCACACGCCAGCTGCATGGGCCCATTTGGTTACAGCAGTTCCTCCCTCCTTTGCATGGGCCCCTCCAGGCCCAGCTGTGAGCTGTCCTCAGAGGGAGGCACCTGCATCAGGAGTGCCCCAGCCGGGGGTCAGCAGTGTAGCATCTGCTCCTGCAGCTTCCAGCCAGGAGAGTGGCCGAGACCCTCAGCAAGTGTCCCCAGGCAGGCTGGCAGGGCACGCCGCCCCCCCCAGCTGCAGGGTGGAGGCTGGGCAGCCGCTGTCACTGGCCTGCTGGCTGGTCTGCAGGCCTGGAGGGGCCACCCCTGTAGCCCCCTAACTGCTAACAACACAGCCTGGAGTTGGAGGCCAGAAACCTCCTGGTGCTGGAGAGAGGGGTTTCTGTGCCTATGCAAAGCTCCCCCAGCACTGGCACCTCTGCACCCCTCCCAAAGCAGCAAGGCCCTGGGTGACCCCACCCCTCCTCTCCAGTCTGCTGGGCGGCTCAGAAGGGGTGAACTGAGGGGCTCGGGCACAGGCAAGTGACAAGGCCACAGCCAGCGACTGCTCAGAGACTGCTTGCTGGTGCCGTCAGCCAGAGAACCTGGTGGTGGTGTCAGGAGGAGTGTGACAGGCACTGACCTTCCGGGCTTGGGAAAGCCAGGACGTCGCCAGGGCCCCCGGGGGCTTGGCAGGTGAAGATGGCAAGTGTTTTGCTAAACAAATCCTCTGCCCGCTCCCTCTGGGCTCACTATATCTGGGACTCCTGCCTGGTGTCTTCACTTGCCATCCCTGCTGGGAGCTGCTGCCCGCCATGCCAAGCCTTGCTGTCCTGGGCCTCAGCCTCGCGGCTCTCTTGAGTCCTGGGACGGGGGACCCGCTGTGCCTGTCCCGGCAGCTCAAGATGTCAGGGGACTACGTGCTGGGCGGGCTCTTCCCCCTGGGCACAGCCGAGGATGCCAGCCTCCGGGGCAGGACGCAGCCCAGGGGCCCCGTGTGCAGCAGGTGGGCAGCAGGAGCGGCCTGGGCGGGGGTGCAGGGTGGCGGGCGGGGGTGCAGGGTCGTCTGCAGCTCCCTGTGGCCTCAGGTTCTCAGCCCTCGGCCTGCTCTGGGCGCTGACCGTGACGATGGCCGTGGAGGAGATCAACAACGGGTCCGCCCTGCTGCCCGGGCTGCGCCTGGGCTACGACCTCTTCGACACGTGCTCGGAGCCCGTGGTGGCCATGAAGCCCAGCCTGATGTTCCTGGCCAGGACGGGCAGCTGTGACATCGCTGCCTACTGCGACTACACGCGCTACCGGCCCCGCGTGCTAGCTGTCATCGGGCCCCACTCCTCGGAGCTCGCCCTGGTCACCGGCAAGTTCTTCAGCTTCTTCCTCGTGCCCCAGGTGGGCCCCGGCCCCCACCCCCACCCCGGCCCCCCAATAGGAGCCGCCCACGTCAGGAGATGCCTCTCGGCCCCCGCAGGTCAGCTACGGAGCCAGCATGGACCGACTCAGCACCCGGGAGACCTTCCCCTCCTTCTTCCGCACGGTGCCCAGCGACCGCGTGCAGCTGACGGCCACGGTGGAGCTGCTGCAGGAGTTCGGCTGGAACTGGGTGGCCGCGCTGGGCAGTGACGACGAGTATGGCCGGCAAGGCCTGAGCATCTTCTCAGGCCTGGCCAACGCACAGGGCATCTGCATCGCGCACGAGGGCCTGGTGCCGCTGTCCCACACCGACAGGCAGCAGCTGGGCAAGGTGCAGGACATACTGCACCAGGTCAACCAGAGCAACGTGCAGGTGGTGGTGCTGTTCGCCTCCGCGCACGCGGCCTCTGCCCTCTTCACCTACAGCATCCGCTACAAGCTCTCGCCCAAGGTGTGGGTAGCCAGCGAGGCCTGGCTGACCTCAGAGCGGGTCATGGCGCTGCCCGGCATGGCCCAGGTGGGCACCGTGCTTGGCTTCCTGCACCGCAGCCTCCCGTTGCCCAAGTTCGCCAACTACGTGAAGACACGCCTGCACCTGGCCGCCAACCCAGCCTTCTGCGCCTCGCTGAGCGCCGAGCAGCCGGGCCTGGAGGAGCACGTGGTAGGCCCGCGCTGCCCGCAGTGCGACTGCATCTCGCTGCAGAACGTGTCCGCCGAGCTGGCGAACCAGCGGACCTTCCCCGCCTACGCCGCCGTGTACAGCGTGGCACAGGCCCTGCACAACACCCTGCAGTGCAACAGCTCGGGCTGCCCCGCGCATGAGCCCGTGCAGCCCTGGCAGGTGAGGGCGCGGCGACGGGTCTGTGCTCCGCTGCCGGGCAGAGCCAGGCCCGTCCCGTGGCTGAGCCCCACCTCCCGCCACAGCTCCTGGAGAACATGTACAACATGAGCTTCCGCGCCCATGGCCTGACGCTGCAGTTCGACGTCAACGGGAACGTGGACATGGAGTACGACCTGAAGCTGTGGGAGTGGAAGGAGCCAACGCCCATGCTCCGCACCGTGGGCACCTTCCACAGGCGCCTCCACCTCCTGCAACACAGCCAGATCGTGTGGCACACGGCCCACAACGAGGTGAGTGGGGCCAGGGGCACTCGGGTCCCTCCCGCACCGCAGTCCCCGGGCCGGGTGCAGCCTGAGGGGGGGCCCTCCAGTCGCAGGTGGGCGCACCCGGCTCTGCGCAGAGCTGGACCCAAGGCCCGTGTCCAGGTCCCAGTGTCCCAGTGCTCGCGGCAGTGCCGAGAGGGCCAGGTGCGCCGCGTGAAGGGCTTCCACTCCTGCTGCTACGACTGCGTGGACTGCAAGGCAGGCAGCTACCAGCACCGTGCAGGTGAGCGCAGGCCCAGCTGTAGGCGGGAGCACACGGAGGGGAGGAATGCCTCCACGGCCAGAGCCCATGGTGGGGCAAGGGTGGCCCCCAGTACCTGCTCTCCTCTTCTCTCCCGCAGATGACTTCATCTGCACCACGTGCAACCACGATGAGTGGTCCCCGGACCGCAGCACACGCTGCTTCCCCCGGACGACCAGGTTCTTGGCGTGGGGGGACCCGGCTGTGCTGGGGCTGCTCCTGCTGCTGGCCCTGGTGCTGGGCCTGGTGCTGGCCGCCCTGGGGCTGTTTGTCCACCACCAGGACAGTCCGCTGGTACAGGCCTCAGGCGGGCTTCTGGCCTGCTTCGGCCTGGCCTGCCTGGGCCTGGTCTGCCTCGGCAGCCTGCTGTTCCCCGGTCGGCCGAGCCCGGCCAGCTGCCTGGCCCAGCAGCCGCTGTCACACCTCCCACTCACCGGCTGCCTGAGCACACTGTTCCTGCAGGCGGCCGAGATCTTCGTGGAGTCGGAGCTGCCGCCAAGCTGGGCGGCCTGGCTGCGGGGCCACCTGCAGGGGCCCTGGGCCTGGCTGGTGGTGCTGCTGGCCATCCTGGTGGAGGCGGCACTGTGTGCCTGGTACCTGACGGCCTTCCCGCCAGAGGTGGTGACGGACTGGCAGGTGCTGCCCACGGAGGCGCTGGTACACTGCCGCGTGCACTCCTGGGTCGGCCTCGGCCTGGTGCACGCCGCCAACGCTGCGCTGGCTTCCCTCTGCTTCCTGGGCACCTTCCTGGTGCAGAGCCGGCCCAGCCGCTACAGCCGTGCCCGGGGCATCACCTTTGCGACACTGGCCTACCTCATCACCTGGGTCTCCTTCGTGCCCCTCCTGGCCAATGTGCAGGTGGCCTACCAGCCGGCTGTGCAGATGGGCGCCCTGCTTCTCTGTGCCCTGGGCATCCTGGCCGCCGTGCACCTGCCCAAGTGCTACCTGCTGCTGTGGCAGCCCGAGCTCAACACCCCCGAGTTCTTCCTGGGAGGGGCTCCCGGGGAGGCCACCGGCAGGGACGGCAGTCGGGGTGAGGAAGGAACTCGGGGCAAGAGCGAGTGAGCCCTAACCCAGTGGCCTCACCCCCGTGGCCTACTCAAGATCCCCCAACCCAGCAACCCCCAGACCGTGCTCCCCATTAAGACTCTCCCGCTCCAGGTTCTGACCACAAGTTGTCTGCTGACCTTGACCCCACGGTGACCTCCAGGCCTGCAGCACCCAAGAGGGACCTGTGCAACCCCACCCCCTGGGGCCCAGAGAGCCCAGCTCTGGCCCCGACCTGCCGGGCCTAGCCAAGGCCTGCCCAGGGGCTCAGCCCCACTGTTCCAGAACGAGTCTGCACGTGGAGTCAGAGAGGGAGGCAGGAAAGCCCCAAGCAGGCCCCACTGACCTGGTCATGCCCACTTGGGGCCCCCACCTAGGCATCACAGGAATGGGGGGGCACAGGCGTGTACCCAGGGGGGAGGGGGCTGCACCCAGTGTCCCTTGACCCAGCCCTCGTGGCCAGGACGGGGTCCGTGCCTGCCACCAGCACTGTGGACAGAGCCCAGGCAGAGGTGGGGGGTCAGCACCATGGTCAGCGCCAGCCGCCAGGACCCCTGGAGCCAGGAGCCAGCACCAAGGACAGAAAACTGCCCGCCAGGACCCACTGCCAGCCAGCACCAGGGACAGGGCATGGGACCAGCAGACGCAGAGGATAACACCCGGCCAGGCCCTGAGCAGGACTTGGGTTGGTCCTGGGGCAGCTCTCGCAGGGCCCTTGGGGGAGGCTGCACCGACCCCCGTGCCCCATCTCCTAAGACAGCCATCGCCGGAGAGAGACACAGGCCACATGCCAGTCCCATAAAATTAAACGCTTTTTAGTGTTTAAAATAGCATTTACACAGAAGCAGCATTTACACAGAAGCAGCTATGTTAACTACGCAGACGCTGGGACTTTGATACAATATCTACAGCGCAGGCGTGGGGCTGGAGACGCCAGGAAGGCATGGCACATGCGGGCAGACGGTCATGAGGACACTGAGAGTGGGCCAGCTGACCTCCCGTCTCCCCGAGACCCCACCCCAGCAGCAGCTGTGCACAGCGGTGCCCTGACCCTGCGGGTCCTGTCCCCTCTTCCCCTGGCTGAGACACGGTGGGTGGACGGCACAGCCTGCCCTGCCCCCGCCCGCCATCCACACTTGGCCCAGGACATGGAGACATCCCACTGGGGGCCGCCGCCTCCCCCAGAGCACACCAGCCAGGCAATAAATAAATAAATTAGATCCCTACTCCAGGCAGCCAGAGGTGCTGGGGGCTCCAGTTCCACCCCCCTGGGCCCCCTGCCTGGGCCAGATGCACAGGTCCATGAACTGGGTGAGCAGGGCGTGCTGGGCTGGAGCCCAGCTCTGCAGGACAGTGTACATGGCATGGAGCCCAAGAGGGCCTTCTTCCCCTAGGGGGTCAGCTCCAGACATGGGGGCCAGGGGTCCCTGAGGCTCACGCTGAGGGGCCAGATCAGACCTGCTGAGGACAGAGACGGTGTCTCCCCCATGCAAGTCTGCACAGACGCAACTGGCTCCACTGCCAGGGGACCCCAGGAGCAGGTGGGCTGCCAAGCGCAGACTGCAGGGGTCTGGGTGCCTCAGCCCTGTGCCCACAGCCTGCCTGGCCAGACAACTAAGCCCGCCCACACACACGCCAGTGCAGCACGACCTCCAGCCCCGCCACCGGTCACATGATGTCCACAAAGAACTCGCAGGGGTTCCCCATGGCCTTCTGAAAGGACTGCCGGCTGCCTGTCAACTCTGGGGGCACAGCGGCCAGCTCCCGGACAGGGGGCCCCCCCGGCGGCCCACCCACTACCGCATAGGCCTTCATCAGGGGGTGCAGCGGGGGAAGGCCTGGGGCGGTGGCTGATGCCTGACTGCGCGGGCTGCTGCCGCGGCTGAGCTGGCTGGCTGGACGCTCCCGCCAGCCGCTGCCGCCCACCCCGCTTGGCGCCGTGGGGTCCGATTCACTGCCGCTGCCCCCAGCTCCAGCCGCCCGGCACTCCTTCTCGCGGCCCGGGCGACGGCTGCTCCGGGTGGACCCACTGCTTTTGCTCCCTGGGGGGAGGAGGGGAGGAGGAGGCGGCGGTCAGTGCCAGGCCGGGCACTTGCAGGACAGACGGCCACTGCCAGGTGACCGGGGCAGGACCAGAGGGTCCTGAGCGGGTGGGGGGTCGGGCAGCCATGCAGACACACAGGCAGGGCCCGCACCACCCGGGAGGCAGGAGCAGCTGCAGCAGGTGGGGACTCTGGGGGCCAGCTCTGCACCCCCATACCTCACCCCGATGCTTGAACTGAGGGCCTGGTCGTACAGCTGAGAAACTGAGGCACCAGCGGGGCCCTGTGTGCCCGGAGCTCCCACCAGCCATCCTGGACTCCCCGCCCCAAGGCCCACTGTCCACCCGGCCCCAGGGCCCTGGCTAGCTCCACTCGGCCCATCCTGGGCTCCCAGGAAGTGGTGGGAGCCTGTGGGCCGACCAGGGACATGCTGAGAGGGACACGGGCGGGACCCTGGCTTACCGGCCCTGAGGGTCCACTCCGCTAGTCCTTCAGCCTAAGGCTTGCTCAGCACAAAGCAAGGGATAGCACGAGTCACACACCAGGCCCCACCCGGCTGCCGCGCCTGCCGCAGGCTGCGTCTGAACGCGGCTGGGGGGCTTGAGTGGGTGCGAGGGCCTGTCCGGGTCCACGGAAACCCCGACACAGCTGCTCCTGGGGCACCACCACCTCCCAGCCCCTTTCTGCTCTCTCCCATCCTTCTCTGGGTCCCTTGGGCCGGCCACCTGCGCCTCTCCCCAGACCCTGCAGGCACGTGGCCTCCTTGTGCCCCATTTGGCCTCGGGCCTCTGCTCCAAGTCACCTTCTCAGGGGACACCCCTGGTCCCCGAATCCCCAGACACCCCTGCCATGGCACATGGCTGTCTGCAGCTGCCACAGGAGGGAATGGAGGCCATCCTCCCATGTCCTGGGGCCTGCAGTCACCCTGCCTGACACCTCCAGCCACCCCACCCACTCCTGTTAAACACTCTTTGCCACACAGTCTCCCACCACTCATCTCTGCCACACCTGGAGCCCTTCCCACACACAGCACTGGGGACTCCAGGCTCCCTGAGAGTCCTCCTCCCCACCCGCCCCTCAGCCTGGGGAGGTGGGGTCCAGCCTGTCCCCGAGTCACACGGTCCCGTTTCCCTCTCACACACTGGCTCCCAGGTCCCCCTGGCACCTGCCCTTTCCCGCCAGAGCCCACCCAGGGCCCAAGCACACAGTGGGAGCACACGGCAGCAGCAGGGGCAGGGTGGAGCCAGGGGGGAGGGGGGCAGGGGCCGCGGGGGGCTCTCACCTTCGCTCTGCTGACTCCCGGTGCTGCCGCTGCCATAGCTAAAGCCAGGGTCCTGGTAGGCAGGTGGGAAGCAGGGTGGGGGCCCTGGGTACTGGTAGGGGTAGCCCTGACCCAGGGGCCAGGCCGCAGCCGGGTGGGGCAGCGGGGCCAGTGTGTCCTGGTCCGAGGCTCCACTGGAGCCGCTGTTGAGATTCAGGGCCGCGAGATCTGGCGGGGGGAGGGGGGAGGATGGGTGAGAGCACGGAAGAGGGCCCCCCCCCCCCGGCCCCCCGCAGCCCTCACTCACTGCTGCACAGGTCCCCGAAGACGTAGTAGCACTGCTCGGAGAAGGTGATCTTGTTGACCGTGTGCCGCAGGAAGCCGCGCTTCAGCATGCTGCTGGCGTACTTCCGCGCCTCCCGCCGCTCCCTGAAGCCCTCCACGTGTGTGTACAGCCAGTCCACCACGTCCGCCCCTGCCACACCGCACGTCAGGCCCGTGGAGCCCGGGGCCTCTCCCGCCTGATGAGGGGGTACCCAGGTGCCCACCCCGACCCCACAGGCAGCTGACGGCCGCTCACCGATGACAGCGTTGGCGATGGTGATCTTGAGCCACATGCGGTCGCGGATCTCCAGCCCCGAATCCGGCAGCTGCATGACCCGTACGACGGCGCCCATGTCACTCTTCACGGTCAGCGGGGCCTCCTCCAGCTCTGCAAGGCACAGCCCCTCCTCAGCCCGGCGGCCGGGCTGACGGGTGCTCAGGACGCACGGCCACAGCACAGGCCTGACCCTGACCCCGCCTCGGGTACAGCCTGCTGCCAGGGCCCGGGCGGGGGGCCGTGTGACGGGGCCCAAACCTGCTGCAGGGCGGACCCCAGGGTAGAGCAGTGGCTGCAGGTGTGAAGACTGGACCTTCGTTCCCCCATCCCACCCCACAGACACATCTCGCCAGGGTCTGGGGCCCAACCAGGGCTGAGGGCACTCCCACCCCCCAACCACAGCCCAGTGGACAGGACAGGCCTCCCCTCCCCTGCGAGCTCGGGGCTGTTAGTCGTGTTAGCGGCAAGAAAGCAGAGTGAAGGCCACGGGAACCGCCCCTCGCCCGGCTCAGGGCACCGGGCACCAGCAGGGCCCAAGGGCACCCACTGCTCCTGACAGAGCACGTGGACGTCTGTGCTCACACGTCTGCGCAGGGCCGTGGAGACAGCGGCACACGTGTCCAGGGCCCCCGCAACAGCCACACGAGCACCAGTGCCCACGCTGCAGACCGCGGGCCTGTGGGGCTCGGTTGCTGCTGGGGCTCTCTCGAGCTGCCACTTACGTGGAGCGCCAGGCACAGAGCTGGTTAGTGAAGAGGAGCTGGTGCGAGTGACGGCACTGGAGCAGGGGCTCGTACCATAGCGCGGCAGGGCTCCCGTCAGCGCCGCCGTGTGGGACAGCCAGGCGGCCGGGTCGATGGGCCGCACTGGGTCGGCTGGGCAGCCGCCGCCGCGTGGCAACAGACGACGGAGGGGTGGGAGGGCGGGCAGGGGTCAGAACAGGGCAAAGAGGAGAAGGGCCCGTCAGGCTGTGTGCCGGGCACAGCTCCGCCCGCTCCCCGCCCCGGGGGCCACTCACCCCTCGGAATGGTGAAGTAGCTCCGGGGAGTCGGGTCCCAGCACTTGGCCACCGTGAGGCTGATGGGCCTGCGGAACAGGTGTGTCACGGCCAAAGCCAAGCGGCCCCACACCCCTGCACGGCGCCCTCCCGCGCCGGCGCCCAGCCCTCACCCCGTCTGGGACACGATCTCCCGCAGCACCCGCACGGCGTCGTCGTTGCTCATGTTCTCGAAGTTGACGTCGTTTACCTGGGGGGGGGCGGGGGTCAGGGGTCAGCAGCACTGGGCGGGCGAGGCCCCAGC